CTGACCCGCGCTCTGCACCGCCCAGAAGAGGCCCTCCCGGCTCCTCCCTCCCAAACTTGGTCCCCTACAGCGGACCACGCCGCCGGGGTCACCGGTCTCCTACCCTCTGCTCGTTTGGGATCGCTCCGTAGATGTTCCTTCTCCTCGCAGCGGGCCTGTTTTCCCTGTTCCTCCTTCCTCCCCTAACCCCTCGCACACTCACCCAATGTCCTGGGCCTGACCCAGGCAGAGGCTGGAAAGGACCCTGGGCCTTACTCCCCTCATTACGAGGCCCTGGGACCCCGCTACAGCCAACACAGGGATTCCCCTGGGGATTTCAGGGCTCCAGCCCCACGTAGGGTCGAGCACTTCTTTCGCCATCATCAGGACCCACAGTGCCCCTAGAGTGTTTTAATGCTCATGTTTTACTCTTTTCAAGCCAATTCTCCCCAGAATTTCTCCAGCTACAGGCCTAACTCTGGCTAATGTGAGCTTGCCCCACTCTGAGGAGGACAGGGACCAGGCTCCCAGGATAGACCGACGCTTGGGCTGCACATGGAGTAAAAGTCCAGGGAGAGGGATTCCCCCTGGAGAGATTCAGCCTACACCTAAAGAGGTGTTTGGGGTGGAGGTGCCGTGACCCATTTATTGACCCATCAGGGAGTATAAAGATTGGCTTGCAGGTTTCATGGGTGGAGAAGAAAGGCCATTTGCAAAGCTGTTATAAAGAAGGATTGTTTATCAGAAGCCTTCTGCAAACCAGGCTTCACCAACACGTGATTTCCTTGGGTCCTCACCACCACCGAGTTTACATATTACAAAACAGCCTCAAAAAGATAAAGTGAACTACCCAAGGTCACACAGCAAGTCTAGAATGGATTAGGACTTTTAAAAAATCAAAGTGGGTGAGGATTTCCCCTAAATCCAGATGCTCTCATTATTCCATGACTTTCCCAAGGTAGCACCTCAACTGTTGAAGTGAATTGAGTTTTGAGTGGAAAAGACTTTGGAACCCAACAAATCTGGATTTGGATCCTAGCTCTGCCACATTTTTAACATTGGGAAGCTAATTTCAGGTCTCTAAACCTGTTATAATCCCAATCTTTCAGGTATATCCTGAGGACTAGATTTAATTCAATAAATATTTATGACTATATATTACATCCCAGGCCCTCTTCTTGAGCATGTAGTATAAAACAGTCCTGCTTCTAGATGCTGAGCCTATAGCAATGAATAAAAGAAAGCCCCTGCTCTCATGGAGTTTACATTCAGTCTGGTTTGACTAGATAAATAATTACAGCGAACATTAACATAGCACTTACTGTTCCAAGCACTTTACCTGTAAACTCATTTAGTCCTCACAACAACCATATGAGGTTATTAGGTGCTGTTATCATCTCCAGCGCGCAGATGAGGAAACCTAGGACAGAGAAGTTAAGCATCTCATTTTCTGGGTCTCTCCAAGATCACACAGCTGGAAAGTGGCAAAGCTGAAACACAACCCTGGCAGTCTGGGCCCAGAGTTCGTTCTCTTGTTCACTCACTCTATTACCTCCCTGATAAGAGCTAAACCGGAGGCAACCCGGGCCAGGCTTAGCAGCTGTTATTAACATCCATGTTAGTATCACCCAGTTCAGCTGCCTAGAGTCAGTCTGCAAAGCCCAACCCCTGCTGCTCAGGGCTAGGCTTTTATATTTGGACATACTTAGACTTAAAAATTGTTGTTCATCTGAATTCAAATTTAACTGGGTATCCTGGGTATGTTGATTTGCTAAATCTAGTCATCCTACTCAGGGCTTGGAACAGGTTACACACAGGTGTCAAATATCTGGCTGCAAGCCGGATTTAAGTTGAACATAGTAAGAGATATTGGGACCCAGAGAGTGAGGGCAAAGGACTGGGCGAGGGAAATGAGGTGGATAGGCAGGAGTGGCAGAGGTGAGGGGAAAACTGGAGTGATTCTGCCTTCAGTCTGCCCTCTTCCTGTGCTCCTGGCCCTCTTCCTTCCCCTTGTTACAGGAAAGGATTCCCTATCAACTGCATCCTGCCAATTTAAGGACCCAGGAGTGATTGTGCTTTCCTATTAATAAGTTTAACTTCCTGTGTCCTCTCTCCCAAGGGTATCGGAGAGGCATGGGTGGTGCTGGAATGGAGGGGAGCGATGTGCCCAGAGGACACCTGGGCCCTGCCTCGGGAGCTTGGGCAGGTCAGCCTGCCCATCATTGCTGTAGGTGTGCTGCAGTCACTCAGCAGAGAGCTATAGAGACCAATTCATTAGCTTACAAAGCCTGATACTGCTGCAGCCTCAGCTCACAATTTTCTCCATTTCTTACTCTAGGCTGCAGCCACACTGACTTTCCTTCAGTTTTACTGCCACAGGGCCTTGCTCCTTGTTCTTGCAACTGTCTTCCCTCTTCCTCAAGGCAGCTTATCTCCACAGTCACTTCCTCCAGGACGTCCTCCCTTACCTCCTTGTTATACACACTCATGGCAATGGACATTTCTTAGCGCCTCTCAAGGTATACTTTTCCATTTGTTCTTGTGATTATTCAGTTAACATCTGGCACTTCAGTTAGACAGTAAGCTGTGAGAGGGCAGCAGTCAGGTCCTCTTGGCTCTTCGTTGTCTTCCTGGCACCTGACACACTTCCTAGCGTATCGTAGATGCTCAAAGAGGCTAAGTGATAGGTTCAACATCATCCAGCTACATACAAAATGGTAATGCTAGGACTTGGACCCTGGCAATCTAACCCCATGCTCTGAAACGCCACACTGTGAGTCGTGGATAAATGCTATTATTATTAATAATAGTGGGGTTGAAACAGGCTGTTCTGGGCAGTCATTTGAGGTGTTTATTAAATGAATGACTCATGAATGTGAAAGGGATCTGCTGGACATCAATGAGGTTCATACTCGTATTCTGTATCGTGTGGAAGAGATTATTCTGGCATGGAGCAGGGGGCTGAGCTGACAGGGCCTGAGCGCTGGGTTTTAGGTCCCTGTACTGCAGCCTGGACATGTGCTTGCTGTGATGTTCAAGAGCATGGGTTCTGGATGGGCTCTGGGAAGAGAGTCTGTCATTATTCTTTCTTGGCCTTTCAGTAGAGGAGGGTCTTGGCACACGTGTCTCTTGGCAGCAGGTGGAACATCATGAGGGGACAATTATAATGGCAGTTACCTTTAACAAGTGATTACAAAATGCCAGAACTTGGCTCAGCATTTAAATAATAATCATTATCAACTACAATGCTTATTGAGAGAGAAACTATGTGACCTGCCTAGAACTGAGTGTATTACAGGCAAGAGCTCATCAAATCACCCCAACACCACCATGAGACAGAAATTATTGTCCCCCCTTTCCAGATGAGAAAACTGAGGTTTGGGGAGTGATGGAATTGCCCATGGTCTGACAGCTAGTATTACTTTTAGGTTGGGAACCCAGTTCTCTCAGACACAAAAGCTGATGCTCTTGATCACCTCACTACACTGTCAGCCCAGAAGGGAGTTCAGGGGGACTCAGTGTGCAGAGGGTGGGTAGTGGTAAGCAGGGAAGGTGGTGGAGTCTCTTGTCTGCCTCATCCAGGTCTGAGGGATGGGGGTGCTTGAAACCCTCCTACGGCTCCCCCATCATGCTTCATACAAAATCCAAGGACTTTGCTGGGCCTGCAAAGCCCTGCAGGACCCAGCTCCCTGCTCCCCCAGCCCGTCCTCTCCTACCACTCATGAGCTCACTGTCCCCCTGCCACCAGGCTTCCTGCCAGATATGTTCCCACCTCATGCTTTGGCTCCTGCTGTGGCCTCCACCTGGAACGTTCTTCCTCTCCAGCTCTCAGAGTTCACTCCCTCACTTCATTTGCACCTCTGCTCAAATGTCACCTTTTCTGAGAACTGACCCTATCCAGGAAGCGCCACATGGATGGTATCACCTTATGTTCTTTTTTTCATGGTATGACTCTCTACCAGCAATATATTGTATATTTACTTGTTTGTTTATTATTTGTTTCTCCCACTAGAACAAAGCTCCATGAGGTAGGGCTTGTCTATTTTGTTTACTGCTCTATCGTTGGACGCAGCTGACATAGGGTAAACCCTCAAAATATGCTGTGAACAGAGCCACACCAACCTGGGCTCTAATCCCAGCTCTGCCACTTCCTAGTTGTGTGACTCTGAGCATTTCTGTTAACCCATCTGAGCCTCATTGTCCACATCGGTTAACTAGGAGTGGTTATAAGTATTGAGATCAGGCAACAAAATACCTGTGCGGTATCTGGCACA